CTAACTTATTGTATCAGCCTATATTTTTAATTTTAATATTTTGTTACAATTTCTTACACCATCTTCAGTATAAATTGGGAAAAGTAAATTAAAAATTATCTCTTTTTTATGGTACCAGGGATCAAACTTGGGACCTTGTGCTTGCAAGGCAGGCGGCAGAACCACTGAGCTAAAGCCCCGCCCCCAATGGGGATTTATTTCTATTTCTATGGAGCACTTGGAGTTCCTGAGGCTTCAGAGGGTGACAGACAGGTAGGCTCCCAGAGCCCCTTCCCTCATCCAGAAACCAAAGCCAGAGTGAGCTGTCCACGACCTTGACTTTGGTAAGGCATCTTCCTGGAGGTTGGGAGTCTGCCACTGGATAGAAAGAGTCACGTGGCCTCGAGTCACGGCTTTGACTGAGGGTCTGCTCCTTCCCATTCAGGTGGGACTCAGGGTGTCACCGGCCTGGCTAACTGGAGAGGCAGCAGCAACATGAGCTAGCATTGTACAGATGGCTGAGAAACCGAGGGACCTGGAAAGTGGCCCGCAGGAGCCCTGCTGTTGCCCTGGGGTCCAGTGTGCCTCCTTTGGTTCAACAACACAGCTGACTCATCGACTGTCAGCGAGATGGCGTCCCACAGGAGGTCACGCTCCACACAGTCCTGTCTGGCACACATACATGCAAGCTCCAACACAGAGGGATGCCTGCGGAAGACTGCAGAGTGAATGGGCATGAGGCCTGGGTAGGCAGTCCACAGGCTTAATGTCAGTGCTGTACCTGGGCTTCCTCAGCGTACCCCAAGTGTAGGATCTAAGGGCCACATCCTCTGCTGACTGATTTAATGATAGAGTACAGCAACGGTCCCAGAACACCCCAGAGAGCCCCTCGATATACCTGATGTAAGGAACAGACTAGAACAATTCATTGATCACAAGTAACAATGGGTCCCCAGAGCTCCCTGGAGCTCTGGTCCCTGGACTGTTCTGCCTCTGCACCCACCCCAGACCTGCTGGGCAGCAATACTCAATCCAGACTCAATGGGGTCTGTCATTTTAGTGAAGAACCGCAAGGCCAAAAGCACCATTCCATCCTCCTGTGCATGGATGGGGATCCCCAGAGGTTGCCCTAACCCCACCCCGATCACCTTCTGCTTGGAATGGGATGGACTTCTGACCTTAGGGCAGGGCAAAGCCTGGGTCATTGGCTCTTGGCAGAGCACTGGTGCCCACAGTAGAGCCTATGGACCAGCCAAGGACCTATCCAGGCTGGCTCAGCCAGAATGCTGAATTATTAAGGCTGTCCTCCCCGGAAGAGCCACTGGGTCACCCTTCCTAGAAGGCGACGGTTCAAAAGAGGAATGAAGCAGCCCAGTGTTTGAATCCCAGTTCCTGCTATTTTCAAACTGACCTCAGACACTTAATCCACAGTGTAAATGACAACTTGCGGGACTAATGAGCAAACAGCAAGGGCCCAGGTGACCCACTTCAAAAGTGCCACCCTCCACTTTCTAAAGTGTCTTTGTCTAGACAAGAAGGTATAGTCATCATACTTCATGTCTCCTGGTGGGACACAGCCACAGGATGCAGCACCACAAAACCAAACCTCTTCACAACTCTGCTTTTGACCTCCTTACCCCAAATTCCAATTTACAGGAAACAGAGGATCAGAATGCCAGTGTTGCTGTCCTGTCAACAAAAACACTGAGGGAAGCCAGGCATGGTGTTGCACACCTGTAATCCCCATACTCTGGGAGGCTAGCCCTGGCCTGCACAAATGAACAACTTCATGAGATCCCGTCACTAAATTTATTTTATTTATATTTTGGTACCAGGGATCGAACTTGGGTCCTTGTGCTTTTGAGGCAGATGGCGGAACCACTGAGCTAAATCCCCTGTTTCCATCAATGAATGTAAAAAAAAACGTTTAGGGCCGGGGATTTAGCTCAGTGGTTCCGACACCTGCCTCCCAAGTGCAAGGTCCCGGAGTTCGATCCTCGGTACCAAAAAAAAAAACAACAACAAAAAAACACATTTAAAGCCTGGGGATGTAGCTCAGTGGGAAGATTTTGTACTCAATCCCTAGTACCAAAAACTAAATAAATTAAAATAAAATTGAGGGAACATGTCTACAAAATGCTGAAGAAGCTCATACTGTGAATTTGATATGGACTTCGGGTGGAACCTGAGTTCATAATCCTACTGACCAAACTTTTGAGATAATCAGACACAAAACTGTGCCTTTGGCTGTGGATTTGATAGGAAAGAACAGCTGTGCTTTGGGGGTGATGCGGAATTAGGGTTTTCTTTAGAGACACACACAGGGACAATGGAAACCATACAAAGTCTGGGTTGGTTCCAAATCCTTGGGGAGCCAAGCTATTCAGGAAGCTAAGGCAAAAGAACTGCAAGTTTGAGGTCAGGCTGGCCAACCTAGTGACAACCTCCCCCAAAATAAAATTTTAAGAGAAGGCTAGGGATGTAGTTCAATAGTAAAGTTTTTGCCAATCATGTTCAAGGCCCTGGGTCCAATCCCTAATACCACAAAAAAAAAAAAAAAATTAGGATAGTAGCACTAGTCCAGTTTTGTCCACTGCACAATGGCCCCAGTTCCTGTGCTGGGGACAGTGGTCCCCTCCCCCACAGGCAAGACCATCATCCCATGATCCTGGATGATCTTGGTGACTGGAGACGGCTCCCTGAGGTCCAGGTTAGGAGTAATAGGGAAAGCTCAGGTCTATGACAGTGGGCCAGTAGCCTGGGAATAGACCCATGTGGGGTGCCCCTTGTTGAGTGGTCACCCTGTCCTTCAAGAAAGGCTGGTTCACTTAGCCTGCCAGCCCCAAGCACAGATGACTCCAACAGAGTTTGATTCTCATTTGACCATCTGACCCTTAATTCTAGCTACAGATTTAACACTGAGCCTGGCTGGAGAGGCACTCTGAGGACCTCTGCTCCTCCAGTGAAGGGGGGACTGTCAGTCCTGCTGAGACTGGTACACCCCAGAAACCTCTGTATACCACTGCCATGGTTACACCTGCTCTGCAACATGGCTGGCCGCTCCCCTCACAGGGCTCCAACCACTGCCTCATAAAGGAGGGCCTGCAGCACCCTGGAACAGCCTGAAGATCCCCCAGCCCCTCCCAGACCTTTGCAGTAAAAGGGTGCTTTCAGCACTGGGAGACTTCAAAGCTGCTGAGGCCCAGGGTCAAAGGTGGAGTCATGTAATACCCTGCCCTGTCTCTCTGAGGTGAGAGGACCCTAAGGGCAGTGTGGGTGGCAGCTCCAGAGAAGCTTTCCAGCCTGCTATCCAAAAGTGGCTCCCGCAATTTGGGTAAGAGACATGCAGGGGCTTGCCATAGTCACCCAGCCCTTGTGGCCAGCATACACAGGCTGGCAGGCTACAAACTCACCAGCACCTCTCAAATCCTTCCCATCCTGTAAGGTAGCCTGGGGTCAGTTTGTCTGCAGGCTGAGTGATTTGCCCAGGGGCACCCAGCTGTTAACTCTGGACTTGGAGCCCTGACCTACAGTCCCTCAGAGCAGGGAAAGCAGTGCTCATAGGGCAGACGGCCTTGGTCTCAGGCCCACACCCAGAACTTGCCCTGGACCTCTGCACCTGTCAGTGGCCTCTGGACTTCAATTTCCTGTAGAAAAAGCAGCCTTGTCTGGACACCCCCCCCCCGCCCCCACCCCCCAGCTCACAGTCCTGGTCCTACAAGGGCTCTGTATTACCCTGGCATCTACCAGGACAGCTGTGGCCTGGCTCAACTCGGATCTCACACCTGTCCAGCCACCCCAGAGTAAGTTCCAAGGGTCCAGAGAAGAGACCTCAGCAGAGTCTGGACCACATACCTGGCCCTCATCTGGGAAATGAGAGTCAACCTTGGAGAGGGCACTGCCAAATGCCACTGATCAATAACGTATTGATAAAGTTCACTTTTGCTAAAATAGATGTCCCCATAGGCCAGCTAAGCAGTGCTGCCCAAGCAAGGGCCCCAGGCTGGGTTTCAGAGGAGGGAGCCCCACCAGGAACTTGCCCCTCTGAATCTGTGGGGTCCACACCTTCGCCAAGTTGGAAAATTCCAGGTTGCAGGGTAGGCAGTGGGGATACAATCTTTATTGTGCTCCAAGCCTAAGGCTACTTTGTACAAAAATAAGTTTTCCTATTTTCAATAGAATCCCTCCAGCAGTTCAAGTTAAGGCGTAAAAAACTGATTCCCTGTGTCCTTGTAAAATCCTCTCTGTAAAAATCTCCAGGCTGGTTTCCAGCTGGGGAGGGCCGGTGGAAGCTGCCAGTCCACTCGAAGCCAGGCGGCCTGGTTCCACATAGTACTTGTCAGGCTGGACAGCACAGGTCAGCGTTGGCCAGATCCCCTGCTGGGTGGGGACAGAGCAGGAGCTGGTCCTCTCGAGCGGGTTCCAGGTGACAGGCTCTCCTGCAGGGTGTCCTGGTCTGCGCTGCCGGGACAGAATGCTGCCGGGACAGAATGCGCGTTAATGACGGTAAGCCGCTAGGCAGACCCCGCCCTGCTCAAGCCTCCCGAAAAGCAGAAAAGCAGTCGGCCGTTTTGTTTGCTGGTTTTGGAGTCTCAGTCCGTGGGTGCCCTGACTCTGTCTAAGGCCCGGCCGGGCGGAGGCGGGGCGAGCGCCGAGCGAGTCGTGGTGACTCAGGACTCCACTCCCGCCGACTCATTTCTGCACCCCGGCCTGGGAGGCGATTTGCAATGCAAAGTTACCCCGCCTCCAGCATTCAGCTCTGCCGGGCACCGCCAGCACTGAGACCTCACCGGCCTGACGGCCGCTCCCCCCTGCCCTCCCCCACTGGCGGCGGGGCCCGGAGAGGAAGTTTTGCAATCTCGGACAAACAAACGCAGGTCTTGCACAGGCTTGAAAGAGTTTGGGGGTAAATGAGGAGTGAGCGAAATCGAAGCTACCGCCCGGCCCAGCGCTCTGTTCCAATGGGTCTCCACACGCGACCGGCTAGGCCTACGCACCCCGCCCACCCGCCTTGGACGTTCCCTCCTCGAGGGGCCAGGTAGTTACCTCGGGGTTGAGGGCGCTCAGTAGCCCCCTAACCAGCTAGAAAAGTCGAGCAGGTCGCACTCCCCGGGGCTCAACTCGCCCTCGCAGCCGCTGTCGTCCGACGAGTAGGCGGAGCGCGGAGACTCAGGCTCCGAGCTGGCCCCGCCAACCGGGGACGAAGAGGCGCAGGAGGGCGAAATAGCGGTGGGAGAGGTCTCAGGAGGCTCGGGGAGAGCCGAGAGCCGCGCGGCCGGTGCCAGCAGCCCCCCGGCCAGCGCGGCGCGCACGGCGTCGTGCTCAGCCAGCAGGCGTTGCAGTGCGCGGATGTACTCCACCGCGGAGCGCAGCGTCTCCACCTTGCTCAGCTTCTTGCTGGCGCCGCCATGCGGCACGTGCTGCCGCAGCGCCTGGAAGCCCAAATTCACCAGCTTCACGCGGTTGCGCTCGCGCTCGTTGCGCCTCGCTACAGCTGCCGCGCAGCCTCCGGCCTCCACCGCGCCGGGCCTCCGCCGCCGGCTGCAGCGCAGCAGTTCCGGTGATGCGGATCTCCGCCGGGCAGGGACAGCAGGCGAGGGGAGCACGAGTCCCGGCAGTGCGCCGCCGTCCATCGCGCCCGCATCCACCCGCGGGGCGCCTGCTCCCAGTCCCGAGGCGCTGCAAGAAAGTGCACGCAAAGGAAGCACGGTCGGTGGGAAAGGGACCACTGGGCCCCAAGCGAGCCTCGAACCCTGTATTGCCGAGCAACTCACCAGGGCACTCGTCCCAAATAGTCTGGAGCCCGGGGACGGCGTGGCGCTGGAGGCCAAAGGGGTGATGGGCTGTGCACGCTGGGAAGCGTGGGGCGCTCGCGTCCCGCGCGTGCGGCCAGACCTCCGCGGGCGCTCAGCGGAGGCAGCTCGTTTTTAAACGTATAGATAACCCTCCTCCGCGCTGCCGCCTCCTTTCTCACGCCCTCTTTGCTCTGCCTCGCCCTCCAGACACGCTTTGCCCTCCCCCTCTCCAAAGCCCAAACCGTGCGAGTGCCCTCCGCCCAGTGGCCCGGGGGCACAGCCCGCAAATCTGACGAACCCCCCTGCTCCCAGCAGGTGACTACTGCGCCTCCCAAAGCGCCTCACGCAGTTCCAATGTGCGAACTGGCTGCGGTCTGCAGGTCCCCCACCTCCAGGAACTGTCAGCAGTCCCGGGCGTAACCTTCCTGTGCCCCCCACCCCCTGCCGCGCGCACAACCCTTAAGCCTCAAGAGCCGCTGGCCATCTACGCGCTCCGCGACCGCTGTGGGCTGGCAGGCGTGGCCGCGGCGACCGCGCAGCTGTCGGGGAGGCGCGTGCGAGACCCCCAAGGGCAGCACGCGCCGCGCCACCCGCACCTGTACCCGCCCCTCTGGGGAGGAGGGGGGGCCGGGCTCACAGCCAATCGTGGGCCTCCGGTTTGGCCAATCGCGGCGGGCGCGGCCCCACGCCCGGCCCCTGGAGGAAGCGTACGCCCGGCGCGTGTCGGCTCCCGGGGAGCGTCGCGAACAAAGCTGCGCACCCGCTCGGCCCCGCCCTGTTCCGTCCCCCGCAACAGGGATGTGTACCCTCAGCCCGCGCGCACTTGTCCCCTTCACGTGTGGTAGGGCTTGAGGGTTGGTCAATACTGGAATAGGTGGGAGCTTCAGGTTCTCCAGGAGCCTTATTCACCCTTGTCATCCAACGCAGGGCCTGCGCTTGTGACTAAAGTGCGCCTTGGTCCTGGGGTCTGGGCAACGCCTTGAGCCGAGGGACTGGAGGTTTGCCCCAACCGCTTCAGGCTGGAGCTGCGGTCCAACCTACCCTCACCGCTCTGCCCAGGCTTCCTCTTTTCCCCCACCTCAGCTATACCTTGTCCTGTACTTCCCAGTCTCTCCTCCCCTCCCGTCCACCCTTCCTAGATCTCGCTCCCCTCCTCCTCGATTCCTCCCCTGAGCTGTTCTTCCTCATGACACCCCTCAGGGCTTGAGCTGGGTTCTCCCTCGCCCATCCTTCCCCAGAGGACATTGAGGGCCGCGGGGCGCGTCTGCCTCTCTAGGAGAGACATAAACAGAGTTTGTCCCGACCCATGAGGATAAATTGTACGGTGTGAGGGACAGGGACTTCGGAAATGCATAAAATTCACTGTTCGTGGAAAGTTTTAAGCCTCCCCCACAGTCCGGGAACTGAGCCCTCCAGGGCCATAGCCTGGCCAGTTTTACCCCACGAGACCAGACACTTCTGGTGGTGGGTCAGGTGACTCACCTGCCTGGAGCTGCCTTCCCTTCTGGCTGGGGGAAAGGGGTGATGGGACCTAGGGGCCCTCCTCCAGGGAGCCCACCAACAAGCAGGGTGTATTTACTACCAGCCTGTGGGTGCCCACTGGCTCCTGGCACCCTGCAGGACCCTGTTTGGCCTGCTTGACCTTTCCACCACAGGAGAAGTCTGCAGAGTAGCACCTGCCCTTTGCCTGCTCAGACAACACCTGGGATGAATCCAGCCACACCTCTCCCCAAGGGGCCAGTGTGGCTAGCAATGGGGGCTGAGTCTGCATCTAGACTCCCTGCCCAGGATCATCTCTGTACCTGTCTGCTCAGAGGACCATGTCCTTCCCTGACTGTGGCTTGTGTGGATCTGATGGCCTGACTCTCTCTGCCCGGACTGAAGGACAAGATGCCAGGAACAGTCCCAAAGGCCTGCACACTGAAAGTCCTTGCCTGGCCTGGAGACCCTGTGTTTACTGCTGCATGGCAGACTGCCAGGGCATTGGTGGCTTGGACAATGATTTGTTATTTCTCAGTATCCTGTGGACTGGTGGGTTATTTCTTTTCCGGCTGAGCAGTAGCCTCCCTTAGAGGGCCATGGGTAACAGTAGCTGGGGCTGGCCCTCCACTTGATCTTCACAGGGCTTAGTCCCCAGGCTGGCTTCCAGGCTCTCCCAAACAGAGCCTGCGAGGCACCTTAAATCCTAGGACTCCGAAACTTCTGTTGAAACTCACAAGCCTTCAGAGCCCCAGACACCTGTTTTTTTCTGCCTTGCCCACTGGCGTGGCCCTGCACCCACACCCGTGTCTACCATGCTACTGCCAGACCAGCTCCCCATTCCTCCCCAGACACCTCTTCCCCCTTCTCTCTCTTCTCCATCTGGGCCTTCCCACCTCTGGAAGGCAGCCTACTCTCCTGCAGCTTAAAGGCAACAGTCCCCCAGGGCCCAGTGTCCTTGGAGATGGCTCTTGCCTTTCATTTCTTGGCCTCACCCACAGCTCTGTCCTCTGTCCTCTGTCAGCATTTGTCATATTTGACACCACAGCAGCTCCCTTGTTTCAGAAACTGCCTCTCTCCTGGGCGCTGTACTTCCCAGGTCACTGTCTTTTTTTTTTTTTTTTTGGTACGGGGGATTGAACTCGGGTCCTTGCGCTTGCACAGCAGGCAGCAAAACCACTGAGCTAAATCCCCAGCCCTTCCCAGGTCACTTTCTATTCTGAGACAATAACCCTCACTCCACCTTGAGAGCCACGACTGGAATGAGTGTGATGACCACACGGATGTTTCAAAGCAGCCAAATGTCCACTTAAAGACAGATGGAGGGATAAAATGTGGGCCAGCCACACGAGGAACACTGTTCAGCCACAAAGACAAGACACATCGACACAGAATAGAATAGTGAGTGAACCTTGAAAACCAGTTAAAAAAAAGCCAGGCACAAAAGACCACATATAGTATGACTCCATTTCTAGGAAGTGTCCAGAACAGGTGGATCTACTAAGACAGAAGCAGACTGGTGGCTGCAGGGGCTGAGGAACAAGAATGAGGGGACAGGAGCCAATAGGTTAAGGGTATGGATTTCCTTCTGAATTGATTAAAATGTTTTAAGATGGACTGGAGTGATACCGGCACAGCTCTATTATTGAATTGCATACTTTGAATGGATGAACTGTATGGTATGTGAGTTATATCTCAATAAAGTACAGTGGACCCTTGAGTGATGACCAGCCTGACATAGGAACAACTTGGGTTACAACCAGAATTTTAGTTTTAACTTACGATCAAAGCCTTGAGTTAACAACCTGAATGCCGGCCACTTGTCCTTCCAGATGATCTCAGATACAGATTTAACCTTTAAAGAGTTCTGGAAGGAACCTTACAACATCCTTTCCTGTGTGGGGTTAATTGAGAAATCCTGGGCCAGTGTCTCTAAGGACACTGAGATCTGCCCGTATGCAGGAGAGAGACTTTGAGGGCTGTATAGAGGAGACTGAGCCTTCACTTGACCAACTTGAGTTACAACCAGCCCTCAAGAATGAATTGAATTTATAAGTCAAGGGTCCACTGTGGTTGGAAAAGGTTAAAACATTGTAGGCACCCAGCATGCACCCTGGTATCCCCAGTCCAGCTCACCCATTCCCAGTCTCTGCCTATCTTGAGTCTCTATTCTAAAGGACCAGATAGCAAATATTTCAGGCCTCCTGTGCCATATGTTCTCTGTCACACATTTCCTTGCTATTTTGGGGCAAATGCCACCAGAAAACAAAGAAATGACCAAGTGTGGCTGTCCTCCAACAAAACTTCATTATGGACACAAAAATTTGAATTCCAGACCATACTTCCATGTTATAAAATATTCTTTTAATTTTTTTCTTGTGCCAATGTATACATTATACAGAAGTGGTTACCATCTTAGCCATTGTTAGATGTGCACTACAGTGACAGTCACACTGTGCAACTGTCACCACCATCCATCTCCAGAACTTTCTCCCCAGACTGAAGCTCTGTCTCTATTAAACACAGACTCAGAACCCCTCCCCTCCTGGCCACCCTCATCCTACTCTCTGTCTCTGTGGATTTGAGTCCTTAAGGATCTCATAAAAGAGGAATCATGCAGGATTTGTCCTTTTTGTAACTGGCTTGTTTCACTTGACATAATGTCCTCAAGGCACATCCATGTTGTAGCATGAGTCAGAATTTCCTTCCTTTAAAGGCTGAACAATATTCCACCATGTGGATAGACACCTTTTGTTTATCCATTCATTGGTCAATAGGCACTTGGGTTGCTTCCATTCCTTGGCTACTGTGAATCATGCTGAGAGCATGGGTGTGCAGACAGACTCCTCTTCCAAACCCTCCTTTGTGTTCTGTCTGGTATAGGACCAGGAGTGAAATAATGCCAGATTGCCTGGTCACTCTGTTTAACTTGTTATTTTTTAATTTATTTTGGTTTTTGAGACAGAGTCTTGCAAACTCACAGCAATCCTCTTGCTCAGCCTCCCGAGCCCTGGGGTTATAGGTGTAGGCCACTATGCTGGGCTGTGTTTAACTTCTGAGGCACATCCTCACTGCTCTCCAAAGCAGCTATACCATTTCACATCCCCACCCAATAGTGTACAGAGTTCCAATATCTTGCTATCTTCTTTTTTCTTTTATTTATTGATAATAGTTCATGGGTATGAATGCTGGGTTTTTAACCATTTGGCAATTTGAGAAATAGTCTCTTGTTTTTGAGCAGCACAAAAACAAATGATGGTACTGATTCGGCCATGGTCTGCTGACCCTGCTGTAGAGGACTGGCATATCCACATGATTCCCAGGCTGAGCCACATCCTCCACCACTCCTCAAACTCAACTTGTGACAGACTGAGCTTGGCCTTCTTTTCCCTAGGCTCACTGTCCCTGCTGTGTCCCTTCCTCAGGGAAGGCCTCACCTATTGCAGGACAGCAGTGCAGTCATCGCCCCACACCCAGGCTCATCCTCTGTCCATGGGCCGAGCGACTGCTCCACCCGGTTGCCATCTTGCCCTCCAATGCCACTGCCACCTCTGCTCTGGTCTCCTGGGTTTGGAGCCCACCTCCACACCCTCCAAGCAGGGTTGGCCTCACAAGGCCCAGCTGGATCGGGCCTGGCCCTAGAGAATGGCGTCAGCCTCCTTACTGCTGTCTGCTGATGGCCTTCTGCCTATGTGCCCGCCATGGGAACACTGAGAACAACAGCTTCCTTTTCAAGGGCACTGGTCTCCTCATATGTTGGCTTTGATGTAACTGAATAATAATGAAAGCTACATTTTGGAACATATGTTTCCTCACATGATAGAAGAGGAAACAAGGCCCAGAGAAAGGAAGGTGCCTGCCCAAGGCTGACTAGTGAGTTAGTGAGGCATGGGATGGGCTAGCCCATTGCTGAGGGCAGGAGGATTGTACCAGCCTGGGCTCCTCATGGCTGTCTGAGGCTGAGAGGGGGCTTCTGGGACTGTGCCCCAGGGAGTGGCCAGGTGCACTCAGGAAGCAACCACCCCCAGACCATTGGTGGAGGACAGGCAGCCCTCCTTCTCCCAGGAAGCAGCCATCAATCTGGGCATCAGACTGTGAAGAAAGTTGGCCTACATTCAACACTGGACGGATTCTCCAGGGCATGTTTTCCATTTACAATGCAATAAAACTAGAAAGAAAATGTCCAGAGCAGCATTTTGGAAAATGGTGAATGCAGAAAGGAAAGAGCAATTTTCTAAACAACTCTTAGGCTAAAGAAGAAATCAAAGGGCAGTAATGAGCCTCTTGAAAATAGCCATGAGAGCAACTAGTATTAAAAGCCTCAAAGTGATCTGATAATCTTATGTGAGTTTCTTAAAAAACAAGGAAGACTGGCTATAAGTGAACAAAGCATACACCACTAGAAGACCAGGAAAATAAAATAAAAAAATAAACATAAAAGAAATAATAAGAACCCAGTGTAGTTTGTTCATGCCTGTAATGTCAGGACTCAGGAGGCTGAGATAGGATGATAGGAAGTTTGAGAACAGCTTGGGAAAATAAGCAAAGAAAGAGAAAGAAAGAAAGAAAAAAAGAAAGAAAGAAAGAAAGAAAGAAAGAAAGAAAATAACCCAGTCTTCCTATTTGAAGCCATTCAGTTGATTTCCTTAGTTTTAAAAAAATCTTTAGAGAGAGAGAGAAAGAAAAGAGAGGGAGGGAGGGAGAGAGAGAGATAGAGACAAGAAAGAAAGAGAAGGGAAAGGAAAGCAAAGAAGAGGAAGAAAAAAGAAAGGACCATAATGACATATGCATACTCATGTTTATAGCAGCACAATTTATAATAGCTAAATCTTGGAAACAGCCCATATGCCTATCAACAGATAAATGGATAAAGAAAATGTGGTATTTATATACACTGGAGTAACTTGAGTCATTTGTAGGAAAATGCATGCACCTCGAGACCATGATCTTAAGTGAAATAAATCAGACACACAAGTTAAATATTGCATTATTTCTCTTGTTTGAGAAATCCAAAGGGTAAACAGGAGCATAATGTAGGCTAGATCTTGGGAAGTAGGAAGAATATGTTCAAAGGGGAAGGGAAACAAAGGAGGGGGTGAGGGGAGGGGAGCAAAGGAAGAAAAATGGAAAAGAAAAGAGAATAGAAAGAAAACAATGGAAACAAAGATTTTGTAAATGGGGATGAAGAAGAGTTGAAGGGAGGGGAGGGGAATGGGAAAAGGGAAAAGAATTAAGATATATTACGTACAGGTACAAATTCTCTATGATGAATGTGATCAATATGTATGATGTGTTGTTACTTTTCTCTCCTTGCTGAGACAAAATACTCAACACCCAAAGTTAGAGGGGAAAGAGTTTATTTAGTTCACAGTTTGTAGAGGCTTCAGTACATAATTAGCTGGCTCCAAGGTGGAGTGGCGTATGGCAGAGGAGCAACAGTTCATGGTGTCAGAAAACAGCAAAAGCCACAAGGGACTTTAACAGCATCTTTCTGCTCCTTTTATCCTATTCAGACTACTAGAGTTAAGGCGGTGCCAAACCAATCATGTAGTGCTTTAGTAATCACACACCCTTAATCCCAGCATCACATGCTCTAGATTCACCCATCTATGATCACACGAGGCTTTGGGGAGACATCTAGACCCAAACCTTAGCATATGACAAATGTGTACCAATAAAAAATATAAAGTTAAAAGAAAGGAAGAGGGAGGGGAGGAAGAATGGAGGGGGGCAGGAAAAGAAAAAGGGTTAATTAATGATTATGAGGGAAGAAATTATTAAGATAGAATTAAGCTGGGGATGTAGCTCAGTGGTGCTGCGCCTGCCTGGCAAGTGCAGGGTCCTGAGTTCAATTCCCAGTACGGAAAAAAGAATTGAATCAAAAAAGTAAAAAAACTGATTTTTGTAAAGACCAAAAAAATAAGAAAGATGAAAAAACACTTTCGGACCAACAAATATATGAAAGGTGATTTAAGTACAAATATGAAAAAGACTAAAAGGTTTTCATTTATGACCAAGATGGAGCCACAGGAACTGAATTCTCCCTCGCCCTTGCAAAATATCAACAACAAAAAGGACCAAATTTAGGAAGTCATGGTTTTCCAGACCCTGAACATCAGGCAGCAAAGAATAATAGTCCTTAAGAGGTGAAAACAAATAAAAGGATCCTGCTCCTGCCTGAGAGAGCTCCACTGCTGTGGCCCAGGTGTCCCCAGGCAGCGCCAGTGGCATCTTGGAGGAGACAGCTGGGAGCCAAGGGGCCCAGGAAGCTGTTTTTCAGGATGGAGGGCTAGAAGGAGACAGGTGTGCAGGGAGAGCCCTGGGATCTGCAGAAAGTCCCTGAAGATTCAGCATGGAGACTTAG